TTCTCGGATCTCACTTTTGTTCAAATATCTCTACTCATATACTCCGTCCTGAGCGACCCCTACCTTCAACAGTCATGAACTACTGATGTATAAAATCGGTGAAAAATTGTTCAGATGAGATCCGGCATGAAATTCAAAATAGAACTCTATCGTATCGATATTGTCTCAGAAACTCTGATATACACATTGAAAAAGGCGAGATCCGAAAATGGATCTCGACTTTCCAAAATGATCTCGACTTGGTAATCATTTATATACAAATGATCTCATCTTTCCTCTTTATAAATCTATATATATATATATATATATATATATATTTAAAAGGGGATGGGGAGGGGTATTTATGTATTTTTCATAGACACTACTTTGCTTGATATCGGTGTTTTCGGATCAACGGTCTGATACACGTTCTTTGCGAAGTCATCTCCGATCTGAGCAACATTATCAGCCAGCTGAATCACTGTCTGATAACTTTGTTGCTGCTCATTTTTCAGAGTACTTATACTTTTAGTATTATCTTCGAGTAATTTCAAAACTTCTGCTATGTCCTTTGCATTCGAGTTCACATCTCTTCTAGTTTGGGCAACGATTCTTTGAGGAAATGTGTCATTTGCATAGCTGTATTCTGCACGTTGGTGGTCAACTCCACCAACTGGGTATTCTGAGAATCATTCACTTTTGTGAATTTGTCTCTTTTGACATACTCGTCAGTTGCACTCTTGAAATCTGTCTGGATTCGCGCTAGGGACTGTTTCACGTTATTTCTTATCTGGTCCACGTATTCCTTGTTTGTAGCATCCTTTTTCAAAATAGGTGTTTTGACATTGCACAAATTCGAATTACCGAAATCTATATCGCCTTTAGGAGTATGTGCTGAGCCGCCGTCGCCTGATGCAATCACCACCAGTTTTCGTTTTCTATCCGAACTACGTCCGAACTTATCGATTGTCATCTTTGAAATGACTGATATTTCATAAACTTATATTTATTGTATAATGTTTGCCTCCTCCAGTTCAGAAATGATGGATACAATCTCATTGTCGAGAGAAGTATTTCTAGCCTGTTTTGATGCTATGAGCAATCTCAAATGTTCACACAACTCATTAGGATCATCCCAATAGATGTATTCTACAGGCTTGGTATTGTACGTATTCATCATGGGTTCTCTGTTCTTGATATCTTGGTGGATCTTCAAGCCTCGTCCCGTTGTACCACGTCGTGTTCTCGCTTGCGAGGCTGCGGCTGCTGCTGTTGGTGGTGGTGGTGGAGGCAGAAAAAAAAGGCTAACGATTTCCCTGTACTTGAATCGTGGACTATGTTTGATCTTCCCATTTACATTCAGATGGGCGTTTGATAGTTCCAAAATTTGTTTGTAGCCATACAGATCATCTTTATTGTAATTTTCAGGGACATCGTAGAATATCAGCTCATATATACCAGGAGTTCCTTTCACTTGTTTCCCATCAATTTTGATGTAGCCAGTACGTGCCTCAAAATCGTTTTCGTTGTAGCCAAGCCTCCATTTTGAATTGCAAGAATCATTTATAGGACCATATATCTTGTCTATTTTATCGCTGTTGGTACAATGTTCTTTCATGAATGGAATGCTCATTGGAGGATATTGTTCCAGATATGCCTCAATAGCTGCAGGATTAAAGCTCTCTCATGTTCTTTCATGAATGGAATGCTCATTGGAGGATATTGTTCCAGATATGCCTCAATAGCTGCAGGATTAAAGCTCTCCACATCACCTTCATCTTCTCCTACATCTTCTTCGAACACTTCATCACCAAAACTTTCGCCACTCGTACTAACAACACGTTCAAGTTTCTGAAACGGTAGTCCATAAGCTTCTTTTTCTTCTTCTCCCTCTTCCTTTCGAACTTTCTCTTCCTTTTTCGGTAGCAAAGGTTCATTTTTGATGGCTGTGTTGTATACTGAAGTGTTTGCTGCTATTATTTCTTTCAGTGGTGCAGATACAGGTTTGAAGAATTTCTGCAACGTTTCATCCTCCTCTGATTTGCCTAATTTCAAAGCTAAATATTTCTTTTTTATAGCCTTGGCTATTTCATTGATTTTATTTTTGCGAACGACATCCACTTCTTTGCTGAGTGGTTCCATGTTGACAAATAGGCTTTATCACATCTAGTTCATACTTTTATAAACTTGTCGAAGCCTTGACGATAGCGACCTGCGTTCAGATCGTGATCCTTAACAATAACCATCGCACCATATTTTTCACTCCAACAATCCGCACAAGTTCGCTTGAATTGATCGAATGTCATGTCGGGCGAGACGTGTTCATCAAACACATGCTTCAAATTCACCTCATCCTGTTTGAAGAGCACCACTAGGTTGGTGTTGTCGCGCAACATTTGCTTGGGGGCTTTACTGTTCGTCTGTCCTATGTATATCGCATCAATACCTCGATGACGACACATGGAATAATACTCTTGAATTTTCTGTTGTGAATCGCACGATATGTCATCGAAAATAAAAATGGAATTTGGTTTTGCTTCATTGGGGTCCATAATTTTCTCATTAGCTTTGAATGGAGAATATCCAACACCATTGACCATTCTTAGTATCTTTTCAAGCAACTGGTATTTGGGTTGGTACAGCGACTTTGAGTACACGTAGACGTTTTCGAATTTGGCACCATTGGGATGGAACAACAATGACAGTGCAGCATTCGTTTTTCCAGATCCACTTGGACAAATAAAAGCGCGAAATGAGTGTGGTAACAGGACACCATGTTTACCTCGATCGATTCCGCTACTGCTGTCATTCAAGAAGTCCAAGTTTTTGATTGGTAGCGTCTTTTTCTGTTGAACGACCCTCATGATGTGTGACAATTCACAAAGCATTGAGGGCTTTTATAAATGGAGATGATTTCCAACATCAGTGCTCATTCTTAATGTTGATCTACCGCGGTGAAGGTATTGTCAATACACTCATCAATAAACTACCATCCGAATTACATCTTCCTGGTTATACGTATTGTGGTCCAGGAACCAAATTACAAGAACGACTAGAACGTGGAGATATAGGCATAAACCCCTTGGACGAAGCCTGTAAAGAGCACGATATCGCCTACTCTCAGAATTACACTTTGGAAGAACGTCATAAGGCTGATCGAGTGCTGGAAAATAGAGTTTGGGGACGTGTCAGATCAAAAGACGCGAAAATTGGTGAAAAAGCTGCTGCTTGGCTCGTCACCACCGGTATGAAGACAAAACGTGAAGTTGGCATGGGGGTGACGAAGCAGCAGCAGCAGCAGCAGCAGCAGCACCCATTCTCCAAAATCGTGAATAATGTGCTGAATGCTCTGAAAAAAACCTTTGACAGCAACGCTGACGGTGGTAGTCATCAAGGTAGTGGTTCAAGTAGATCATCTGCAGCAGCTCCGTGTGCAGCCCATAAGGCAATAAAAAAAGTTGGAGGCCGGAAAAAAATTCGAATTCCCAGAATAATACCTTTGCCTGCCGCAGGAAAAAGCGGTGGATTCCTACCATTGATACCACTATTTGCAGGCCTATCGGCTTTAGGGTCGCTGGCTGGGGGAGCAAGCGCTATCGCAAAGACAGTGATCGATACCAAGAATGCGAGTAGAAAAACTGGAAGAGGATAAACGTCACAATCAAGCTATGGAGCATCTGGGTTCCGATGTGTATCTACGTAAAACACGTAAAGGATATGGACTGTATTTGAAAAAGAGAGGAGGTGGTGGTCGCGGCGGCGGAGGAGGTGGCAGCTGTGGAGCTGGGTTATTCTTGAAGAAACAAAAAAACTAATATCCAAGCTACCCAATAGAGCATTATATGATGGAGAGATTGTAAAATACGCCATATTTTCGAGGAGTTTTCATGTGAGACACGCTACCTACCCGCCCATGGCGACGTCGTGAGTGTGCAGTCATGAATTTAGATTCCTCCATCAATCCTGGTATTTATTAGGTAGAAAACATGGGAATATTGTCTATAATTTCGATTCATATGGTTGTCTGAAACCGCCGAAGGAATTAGCCGAATATTTCGGAAACAACGTGCAGATATTCTATAATAATGATGTCTATCAGAAATACAATCAGATCAATTGTGGTCATTTAGGTTTAGCATTTCTATTGAATTCTAAATTGAAATGATGAAAATGAAAAACAAAATATTCAAATTATACATACCTCTACACTGATCCATCAGTCATGTCTTTGATATTTACATTGAAGAGTCGTTCTTCGACACTCTCTATTGATTTTTCACCTCCAATTCCATTAGATTCAGATTATGAATATGGCTTAGTTCTACTCAGTTACCATTCGTACAACAGCGTGCCCAACATCGAGGAAGGAACAAAGTTCTATTATTTCGAAAATGGTGACAAAAAACGAAGAAAAAGTATTGATATTCCTACTGGAGCTTACGAAATTGAAGATATTGAAAAGCTGATCAGAAAACATCTTGTACCACCACCTACATCAAAAAATATGATGTCATTGTCTTCATCGCAGAAGCCTGAAGACCTTCTCTATCTCAAACCGAATAATAATACTTTGAAGAGTAAAATTTTCTGCAAATATCATGTGATCGATTTCACTCAGAACAATAGTTTGGCCAACATATTGGGGTTTTCGTCGAGAATCTTGGAAAATGACATTCATCATTTGTCAGATCAGCCTGTGAATATTATGAAAGTTCGAACAATACATGTCGATAGCGATATTACCTCAGGGGCCTTCTACAACGACAGACCATCTCACACGATCTACGAATTTGCCATCGATGCTGATCCTGGTTACGCTATCGACGAAACACCGAATCACCTCATTTATCACACAGCAGGTCATCATCCGATTGGAACTGAAAAAATTATGGTCCTGAGTGTTTATAAGAGTCGCATCTCCGTTCCTGCTTCTTCAGTCTTCAAGAAGACATTCATCAACCATATTGCCCGCCGCCCACTCAGTACGCGGAATATAGCATTTCTCAAGTCAGTCGGCTATCATGTTATCCTCTCAAGTGTTCAACATATTCCGAAAGCCTCACGTCGACGAGTCCATACAAAAGGTCGAATGGAGAACATACTACCCTTACGTCAAGTCGTTTAGAAATAATGATGTTATAGAAATCAACATCAATCAGTCTGATGCTTTCAATGCTCTCTATGAAAGTATCTTACACATCAGTGGAAAAGTTACGAGAACTGAAGGTGCAGGACATGTAGCTTTCGTCAATAATGCCGGTGCCTATATGTTTCAATCCATCAGTTATGATCAGAATGGCAAGGAATTGGAATCAGTACGTGATTTTGGTACTGTGCGCACTGTCAGAGGTTATTTGTGCTACAGTGCCGAAGATACGGAACAATTGGCTATAGCAAGATGGACCTACCCCAATAACGTTGATGTCATGAATGCAGCAAGTTTGGCATTCAGTATGTTTATCCCATTGAAGCATCTGCTGAATATTGTCAACGATTATGAATGTGTCTCATATGGTAAACATTCCATTCGTTTGGTGAGAGCTGAAAACGATAACAACTGCTTCAAAATCACCGAAAATGCTGTTGGCACCGCTGTTGTACCCACAAAATTACAATTGGAAATCAAAAACGTGGAACTCGAAGTGAAAAGACTATTTCCGAACGATCAAATCAAATTGCACTTTTTGAAGGCAATCAAAGCCGACACTCCCATCCTGATACCCTTCAGAAAATGGGAATTGCATATGTTGCCTTCTCTCACGACAGGCGCCACCAATGGAATATGGGCCGTCAAGACATTTTCGTTTCTCTTGGCCTTCGATGAAGGAGCCTTTCCACAGGCGTACTTCAACTACACGCAATTTGGATATAGCTATAAAAACACCTTCCAACACACTCCGCTCCTAGGCTACCCCGAATTTGCCAATATACAACCTCTTTTTGTTATCGATTGTTCGCGACGATACGGAAGTGTCAAAAGCTCCACTGTCGATGTCAAACTTGAAATTGAAGCATCCCAAGAATTTTCTGCCAACACTCGAGCCTATTGCATCATCATCCATGATAACATCATTGAGCACCTCCCACTCAGTGAAATTATCAAGAAGTGGAATTGAATCTTAGTTTGTCAGTCAGTTTGAGTTCGACCAGCATCATGAGATTAGCGTTCATAGACATCAAGGGTTCATTATCGAGCATGAATTCCGCCCCAAGGAGATTACTATTTAAATTGGAGTTCAATGTAGTAATTATCTACTACTTCCATACAAATCCTTTTCTTCTCTCAGCAAAGAAGACCGAACCGGCGCTTGTTTCTTGGAAAAGAACGTTCATGGGTTGAGATATTCTACCGGATTTGTGGCATACAATTAACTCAATAATATCCTTCAGGATAAGCTGATTGACATCGATATCATCTATGTGCCAGGTCATCAAAAAAAGGAGTTCCTGGACGATAAATTAGCAACATTCAATGTACATGCAAGAGTCGTGAATTTGGAGCAATATGACGATTCCTGGTACAACGTTCCAACTTTTGATAACAACAACACCATCACATCCTGTATGCATCACCTTCGTCGAGAATCCTTCAATTGCAGCCTTCGCAACGTTGATATTTCATACAAATGGTTCGACAATTTGATACCCAAATAGTGTTACTCGATAAATCAATAAAGAAATAAATAAATTTACTAATGATTTTGTTTTTTTCCCTTAATTCTCGATTCTGCACATTGAACAACAAATCATTAAAACGACAAAATATCGAATCGACGAAACGTCATCTGTCGAACGTCATCTGTCGTACGTCATATGTCGTACGTCATATGTTGATACGCCATTGCCAAAACGACGAAATGCAGATTACGGAGCACAATATCCGATTTTTTCAAACGTCCGGCAATGTCGACATGCAAGCGCCAGCTGTGCTCTCTACAGCATCGCCTGCCATCTCGCCGCTTACCAAACTCCAAACTCGTACACAAATTTGTCTAGTGGCGTGACGCTATGGTAGCGTTTCGAACTCGCAGTCTGGTGGCCGGAGTTCGGTTCCTCGCTCGCACAGCCCGACTTCTTTTTATTCATTATATTCCCATCCAATATTTGAATTTGCCGCCGCCAAGTTGCAGACCGCAGCCACAGCGACACTAGCGATACTAGCAACTCTAGGGAGTATTTTCGGAACCCGTGTTTAAAAATTCTTCTTGCCCTATCTACTGATGAAGTCGATGTATCTTCATCTGCCTATTGTACTTTCTATATACCCTCCAAAGTCGTCTTCTATGAACACTGCGATCATATCAGCTTCAACTGCTAGACTTCAGACTTTCTGTGTAGACATAGTTGTCGTCGAAGTTTCTTGTTCTGCATGTTGTTTGCGTTATACCCTCTTGGGAGTCATCTTATATGGTCATTGTGGACTTGTCTGCTTCAATATTGACCATGTAAGATGATGGAATAGAGAGATATAGTGTGCACAACGATGAAGTCGAAGTATCTACATCTGACTATTGAACTCGTTATATACCCTTCAAAGTCGTCTTATACGGTCACTGCCATCGTATCTGCTTCAACTGTATGCATGTCAGATGCTGTACTGCAGAGTTACAGTGTAAACAATGTCAAAGTCAGAGTTTCTTATTCTGCAAGCTGTGTGCGTTATAACCGCTTGAAAGTCGTCTTATATTGTCAATGCAAACTTGTCTGCTTCAATAGTGTCGATGTAAAATGATAAGATAGAGAGATATAGTGTGCACAACGATGAAGTCGATGTATCTTCATTTGCCTATTGAACTCGTTATATACCCATCAAAGTCATCTCATACGGTCACTGCATTCGTATCTGCTTCAACTGTATGCATGTCAGATTCTAGACTGCAGAGTTACAATGTGAACATAGTCAAAGTCGAAGTATCTTGTACTGCGAACTGTATGCGTTATACCCGCTTGGAAGTCGTCTCATATGGTCAATGCAAACTTGTCTGCTTCAATAGTGTCCATGTGAGATGAGAGGATAGAGATATATAGTGTGTACGACGATGAAGTCATTGTATCCCCATTTGACTCTTGTACTCGCTATATACACTTCAAAGTATTCTTATATGGTCATTGCGATCGTATCTGCGTCAACTGATAACATGTCAGATGCTAGACTGCTCCTCGAGGAGTCGTCACCTTGGAGTGGTGAGGAGGCTCAAGTAGCTGCAATGACGTCCAGAGCTATGCCGGCGGGGGTCACTAGACCCCTAGCAGGGCCTCCCAAGCCGGACAGGTCTGGTCGGAGTAGTGAAAACTAAGAACGACTCACAGCATGAAATATGTCGAATGAGGATAACTTGATACCCCAGGTGGGTAGGACCAAATAAGGTCCAGAATCCCACTCCATTGAACAAATGGACTGCCCCACGGATTCTGGGGGGGGGTTGGCAAACATACGACATATCTGACTTCACCGGCAGGCGACCAGGCCGGGACGTCAAATAGTAATACTGGTCCGAACTTAGAAGTGACAAATATAGAGAATCCTTTCGCACGGAGAAGCTCAGTGGCAAGGGCACCCCCAAGGCCAAGAACTACATCCTTACCAGACTCCGCGAGCCAAGAGGTATTCGAAAACCTAAGGAGTGACGATACGGCAGAAGAAAGACGCTACAAGCGCAAGAAAATGGAAAAGACCCCTGATAAGGCCAAAGCTGAATCTGAAAAAACCCCTGATGAAGCCAAAGCTGAAGAAAAGACCGCATGTGCCTTCAAGAGAATCATGGAAAAAATGCTCAAGCAGATCAAGTCACTGGAGAAAATCGCCAAGGAGGCATACAAACCAAAATTGGAACTGAAAGAGGGAATCAGCAGACTGGCTATGCATGCAGCACAACTGCAAAGCAAAGAGATGAAAGAATGGCTCGACGAGGCAACAAATAGTACAAAGGAACAAGAGATCCAGCAAGCTATGCTCAGAGAGAGATATAATTTCAACAACCAGTTACAACACATGGAAGAGGAACACGAGAAAGAACTTGGAGAGCTACGTTTTCTTAGTTCGAATGACATAAAATGTGATGAATGTACGAAGAAACAGAAGAACGCTGCCAGAAGGAAAGTGCTGATGCAAGATGACCTTTTTGAGAACTTTGAACAAGTAACAGACGACGATTGGGAGAATGGAATCTTCACAAAAATCCTAGCTAAATCGGAGAATGTCTGGGAAGCACCAAGTGAGTGCGAGCTCATGCTCCCTTGTGATAAAAACTTTGACACTGACTCTAAATTAGTGAGGAGAGCAATCAACATGCTTGGAGGTAAAGAGGGCCTCAGAAAACAAAATAAGCAGAAGGGTGGCCTGGCACTGATGACGCACTCACTAGGATTCCCAGATAGCGTATAACGCTTTCTTGCTATTTTATGGATGTTGTATAATAAATAGTAAATTGCAAGACTAGTGTGTAGTTATGTTATAGGCACGGCAGCTCTGTTGTTTGGGAGCAGGCTGTGGATTCAAGAAGTTATGTATTTTTAGGGACCTTTTGCCAGGCGCCACTCAGTTTTCAGTAGTAGGAAAACTAAGAAAATTTAATATTGAGGATAGAATTTGAAAATCTAATGAAACACCAAATAACTGTACCAGAGAAATATAATTCTTTAGATGTTTGAAGCAGATTCATGTGACACACAATTTCAATTATACCTTCAGTAACACCTTACTGTGCAGAAAAATGATTAAATCACTTCCTCAGTGTTGTATAAGTTAAATGCCTAAGCAGAACAAAAAAATGTAGATATCTCAAGATATTCCCCTTCTATATAGGCCTATATTTCCGGTTCACAGAATGACTGGACTCCCATTATGATTTAGTTAAGTGGTATTTCAAATATAAAATTAAAAACTGTTGTTATGAGTAGTAAGACTTGAATAGTGGTTCAACTTGGTGCTGCGCACTACTGGATCATCAGGAACAAAAGTATAATCAAAATTGATCTGACCTTAGTGTCTGCGGAGCATGTGGTGCTGCTCTGTCCTTCACTGCCAGTGAACTCCAACTCCAAAATTCCAGCTGGTGCAGTTAAAAAAAAAGGTTTCCTGGACTTCCTAGTCACCCTTCAACATCGTGGACGGCACAACAAGGTGGGATCAAGAGAATAGCCCCAAAATTGAGAAGTGGCCCCAACAGCACACTATCTTGAATTGGAGACTTTCTAGTCACCTTGTGGCATCATGGATGGCTCAGGATGGGATCAAGAGGAAAGTTCCAAAATTATCAGGAGGCTATACTAGCTACACGCTAGATATTGGAAGAAAGCTGTGGCACGCTACGATGATGGCGTCCCCCCAGGACATCCACCATGAAAAGGCCAATAAATCTGTTGGAAATATACCAAATTGAAAACAGTGAATCGGTTTATGGACTCTAAAAATGCTCACCTTCCGTCTGGAATGGCCGAAAATAAGGGTATCAAACCCCACAAAGGTTGGATGAAAAATGGCAAAATTCGTGCCCATCTTGCCTACTCTCGGTAGAGAAGAAGGAAATCAAGAAATTTCAAGAGTTTCCTGTGCACTCAGAAAACAAAACCGTTTATAAAAACATGTTTCAAATTAGAAATGATTCACTGCGCAAGTACAGTTGGAATCTTGACTAGTTGATAAATATTACCAACAGAGAATATTGAAATACCTAGATTATTTAAGGAAAATGTTCTAATGGGCTTTTGCCCGTTTTTAAAGAATTGTGAAGTTAGGTCTGACACAGAACTATAGTAACATTGGTCCAACCAAAAATGTTGCCAGCAGGCCGAAAATAAAAGAAGAAGGTTATAGATTCACAAAGGCTATGGACGAAGCGAAATAACCTAACAATCCACATAACCAATTAAACTGTCAGACTGAAACTGAAATACGAATATAAACAATTACAACTACTTCAAATATGTGGATCCATAATTAAATTGAAAACAGCAAGGACATATCATTTTCCAACAGGTTTGTCAAACTGTGCATTTCAACTTTTATCCATTCAATCAGTCAACAGCAACTGGAAATGTAAATCATTTATCATTACAGCTAGGAAGAAGGACAGATCACCACCACTGCTATGGACACCTGAAAAATACAACCCTGAAACTAATAGACAGTCACACCAGGAAGACAAAGGAATCTTCAAGTTCAGCTTACAAGAGGTCCAACGCCAACAGAATATTCAATCCACCTGCCATAACAAATGTAAAGTGTTGCAGTCACATAATCTATTGAGTATCTTACATCATCATAATATACTGGGTGTTACTCTTGGTTAACTTAATAACAAACCCATATAATAAAGGTAAAAAAGGAAAATCACATGTTACATTCACCCCCTTCCGACGAAAAAAAATAGGCATGCAGGTACATGTCTATTTTGATTGGGGACAATCCTAGTACAGTTATATTTTACGTATGGTGAGATGAGAATCGAGCTCGATTTAAATGATGAAAACTAACCTAGGCCTTACCTAACACTATTCCTAATGATGAGATCCTAACATTACTCCTACCCTACTATTTACAAAACCCCCTGGGAGGTGCTTCCCGGCAACAGATAACCCTTGGATCAAACGTCGTTTCGACTATTTTCTTCTAACTCATCATCAGTATCGACCGAAGAAAATTCAGACCCATCATAAGGTTTTAAATCCTGTATGTGCCATACTCCTGCATTTGTACCGTCCTCATTCTTGAGTACATATACAAGTTTCGATTTTTTCTTCGCTACAGTGCAAAGAACGTAACGCGGCGCTAACTTTTTAGCAAAATTGTTTGCAGCATCAGAAAGAACGTAATTCCTTTTCCATACTTTATCACCCACAAAGAATTCCATGTCCCTTCTACGCAAATTATAATACCTTGCATTCCTTTGATATGCAGAGGTTAGTTTAGATTGGACATCTTTGAAAATTCCAGATAAATTGCCTAAATTTTGAACCCATCTTTCTCTATCACCTAAATCAAAAATATCCACATTACCATCCCCATAGTACTTCCCTGAGCATGGAACTTCACGTCCAAAATTAAGAAACGCTGGGCTATAGCCTGTTATCTCGTGAATAGCGGTCCTCATAGAGTATGCAATTTTAGGTAATTCTTTATCCTACGATTCATGGTTACCGTTAACATAACATCTTATAGCCGTGCAAATTGTACGATTTGATCGTTCGACATAGTTCGCCTGGGGATGATAGTATGGAGTATATCTAAAATTTGATCCGTAATCCCGAACAAGTTTCTTAATAGCTTTACTTACTAGCTGTTTACCATTATCACACACAATCTGTTGTGGTGTGCCATATACTAAGAATACTTCATTCTCTAAAAATTTAATGATACTGCTAGAAGTAGCATTACGTAATGGACATATCAAAGGATACTTGGTGAACCAATCAGAGACGACTAATATGTATTGATAACCGTTGGAACTCCGGGGAAGCGGGCCCATCAAATCCATTGCAATAACCTGCCATGGAAACCTAACACTACGCTGTGAACCCATCAACCCAAATTTGGCGTGGTTTGGTGACTTTTGTGATGCGCACATTTCACAAGATTTTACATACTGGTTAATATTTTGCCGCATTTTAGGCCAATAATAGGTAAGTATGACTCTAGAATAGGTTTTGAGATATCCAGCGTGTGCAGCTGTACTGACATCATGGCAAGAAGATATAATGGATGAACGTTGCTTCTTTGGCACCAACAACTTTCAGTCGGAAATATTGGTATCCAATGAAACTTTAGATGGTACTAACTTATAAACATAACCGTCCTTGACAGCCCATTGAGGGTATTTGTCAGGGTGTTCCAATATTTTTGACCTCATTTTAACATAAAAGGAGTCTAAGTTGGTTAAATCAATATTAAGAGAATTTGCTTTACTAACCTCATCTAAATTTATAGCACAAATATCATCACTGGATATTGGTTCATCAAACTCCTGATTAATAGGGCTCCTTGAAAGTGCATCAGGAACTACGTTAAGTTTCCCTTGCCTATAGGCAATTTCAAAATCAAATTGACTTAGCCTAACGCTCCAACGAGCCAATCTTCCTGTTGGGCTTTTCATGTTAAACAGATATTTAAGTGATGCATGGTCAGTGATAATGGTAAACTTTACTCCCTCAATATATGGACGAAATTTTTCGCACGCAAAAATGCAAGCAAGGCACTCTTTCTCAGTAGCACTATAATTACGTTCACATCTGGATAAAGTCCTAGAGGCGTAAGCTATTACTTTTTCTTGACCGTCCTGACATTGAGTTAACACGCACCCCAACCCAGTATCGGAGGCATCGCATTGGATAACGAAAGGTAAGTTGAAATTTGCAGTTGTCAGCACAGGAGCGGAAACCAACGCTCGTTTCACTTCACGAAATGCCTTTTCTGACTCAGCGTTCCAAGTTATCTTTTGTCCTTTTCCCTTATTTTTCAATAAGTTATTGATAGGAGACATTAATGACGAAAAGTGTGGTATGAACCTACAGTAATAGCTACATAACCCCGCGAATCTTTTGATTTCAGTGGTATTTCTTGGTTGTGGAAACTCAACCATAGCCATAACTTTCAATGGATCTGTCCGTAGTCCATACTTGTCGACTATAAATCCTAAATATTTAAGAGATGACTTGAAAAACTCGCATTTATCAATATTGACTGTCAAATTGGCATTACTCAACCGTTTTGCAACTTCTCCTAATAAAGTGATATGTTCTTCAAAACTTGAACTAATAATTATTGCGTCGTCCAGATATACAAAAACATTCGGTTCCATTTCTGGACCGAACAAAGCGTCCATCAACCTCTGTTGACATTGGGCAGCATTAGACAACCCAAAAGGCATGACGTTGAAGTGAAACAACCCTCTCCCTGGTACCGAAAATGCAGTTTTCTCTTTTGAAGCCTGATCCAAGGGTATCTGCCAAAATGCGCTACGAAGATCGACTGAAGAGATATAGTTAGCATTCCCCAAAAGCGACAAAATTCTATCTACAACTGGTAGAGGAT